ACTAACCAGGACTGAACCAGGACTAAACAGGACTAAAACAGGACTAAACCAGGTCTAAAACAGGACTGAACCAGGAATAAAACAGGACTAAACCAGGACTGAACCAGGACTAAAACAGGACTTAAACCAGGTCTAAACCAGGACTGAACCAGGAATAAAAACAGGACTAAACCAGGACTGAACCAGGACTAAAACAGGACTAAACCAGGACTAAAACAGGACTGAACCAGGACTAAACCAGGACTAAACCAGGACTGAACCAGGACTAAAACAGGACTAAAACAGGACTAAACCAGGTCTAAAACAGGACTGAACCAGGACTAAAACAGGACTAAACCAGGACTGAACCAGGACTAAAACAGGACTAAAACCAGGACTAAACCAGGACTGAACCAGGACTAAAACAGGACTAAACCAGGACTGAACCAGGACTAAAACAGGACTAAACCAGGACTGAACCAGGACTTAAACAGGACTAAACCAGGACTGAACCAGGACTAAAACAGGACTAAAACAGGACTAAACCAGGAACCAGGACTAAAACAGGACTAAACCAGGACTAAAACAGGACTAAAACCAGGACTAAACCAGGACTAAAACAGGACTAAACCAGGACTAAAACAGGACTAAACCAGGACTGAACCAGGAATAAAACAGGACTAAACCAGGACTGAACCAGGACTAAAACAGGACTAAACCAGGACTAAAACAGGACTAAACCAGGTCTAAACCAGGACTGAACCAGGAATAAAACAGGATTGAACTAGGACTAAACCAGGACTAAAACAGGACTAAACCAGGACTGAACCAGGACTAAAAACAGGACTAAACCAGGACTAAAACAGGACTAAAAACCAGGACTAAACTAGGACTAAACCAGGAAACCAGGATAAAACAGGATTGAACTAGACTAAACCAGGACTAAAACAGGACTAAACCAGGACTGAACCAGGAATAAAACAGGACTAAACCAGGACTGAAAACAGGACTAAACCAGGACTAAACCAGGACTAAACCCAGGACTAAACAGGACTAAACCAGGACTAAACCAGGACTAAAACAGGACTAAACCAGGACTACATCAGGTCTAAACCAGGACTAAAACAGGACTATCGCAATTTTTGACTAATCTGATCTCCGTCAACTCGTGTTTCTTAATGATCGTAAAGCAAAAAAAAATAAAAATGCAGCGGCAGAAATCCCTCCGATTACGACTGAGACGAGAATGCACAGTGTTACTCGCTCTTTTCACTATTTTATTTATACTAACCATCAACCATCCCAATCCAGGTGTGTCCCAGTTTAGAATTTAGAAAATCTGGTCACTCTAAGCCAGGAGGGTCCAAACTTTTTTCATCAAGGGCCACAAATCTAAACACAGATGAAGCAGACGGGCCGATCGAGGGACACAGACTGCGAATAATTGAAATATGTGCATGTTTAACACGTTAGAATGAATAGAGACTGATGGCCAGTGTTACAGATTACATACACCAAAATGTAGTTTGTAACGTAATCCATTAAAATACTTAAAGTGAGTAACGTAATGTGAATACTTTGGATTACTTGACATTGTCGTGCTTTTTAAAACTACATGAATGTAGCGACCACATCCTGAAAATTCTTGTTTGTTCTCTTCAAATTGGCCCTGGTTTAGACCTGGTTTATTCCTGGTTTAGTCCTGGTTTAGTCCTGGTTTTAGTCCTGGTTTAGTCCTTGTTTAGTCCTGGTTTTAGACCTGGTTTAGACCTGGTTTAGACCTGGTTTAGTCCTGGTTTAGACTTGGTTTTAGTCCTGGTTTAGTCCTGGTTTAGCCCAAAATGTGAAAACAGGAAAATACGTCTGTGTAATCCATTTATTTCAATAAAGTAACTGTAATCCAATTACCACTCACTGAAACAGTAACTGTAACTGAATACAGTTACTCATAATTTGTACTCTGATTACGTAACTCTGGTACATGTAATCTGTTACTCCCCAACTCTGCCGATGGCTCATTCTAAGAACCTTTATACCACAAACACTAAATATTAAATATTGGCTTTATCAAGGTAAATTTTCAAAAAACTTGCAGTAAAAAGTTAATTTTTAATTGATGCCAGGTAATTTGGGCCAATTCACCCAGAAGCCTGAGGGCCAAGAAAAAAATTCTTTGAGGGCCGCATTTGGCCCACGGGGCATAGTTTGGACATGCCTGTCCTAAACTACTGGTGTCTCCCCAGCTGCAGGTTGTTCTGCACAAACAGGTTGGAGACTCCTGTTCTAAACAAGAAGCACACACACAGACAGTTTGTCAGTAAACTCTCACCTGAGCAGCTCATGATGCTGGAGCTCAGGTGAGAGCACACGGACAAACTGTCTGTGTGTGTGGTTCTCAAGATGCACTGTTGCACAGAGGAAAATAATCCAGGGGGTCATGAAGGCAGCTGCCCTCTTCCCTCTCTGGAAGATCTGCACAGTTCCTGCTGCCTCAAAAAGGTCAGTTCCATCCTGAAAGACTCATCACACCCCACGCACAAACTGTTGAACTGGCAGGAGATAAATAGAGGAGATAAATTGTGCTAAGAAAAACATATTTTGATATAACATATATTTTTTTTACGTTTTACATTTATGAATGTGGATGTGTATGGCTGGGCTCTGTGTGGGTGTGTGAGGTGAGTACTTTTTTGTTTTGTTTTAATCCATAGAGACTTTTATTATTTATTGATACATTTGCGCTGAACAAGGACTGCACTTAATTTCGTTGTATCTGTTACAAGGACAATAAAGATATTCTTCTAAAATTCTTCCATTCTTCTAATTTTTTTTAAATGTGTATAAATGGGTTGAGAGTTTGATAGAACAGGGCCTGGTTGCTTTGTGGATGCTCCCCGCGGTTACTTATACACTCTCATATTAACTTAAAGGTTGTATAGAGGATTTTTTAAGGGAAGAGAAATACAGCGTCCTTTTTCAAATGTTGTGCATGTGTGACACCATCTTCCTCCTCCACAGCTCCCTCCAGAAATAATTTAGAGACCGATGCCTCAGCTTTTAGACCCTTCGTCTGCTTCAGTCGCGCCATCGCTGGAGGGAATCTCCAAGAATCACCTCAGTTTGTCTTCGCTCCTTTTCCCCTTCTCTTCTTCTTTCAGCGACCTCAAAAACGGACTTTCCTTTGCGGCGAACTGGTCGTGGATTCTCGTCCGCCGTCGCAACAAAGTTTGTGCAAACTGCGAGGAAGCTACAGTTAGAAAAAGCCTCTAAGAACCGCTGCATAGTTACCCTAGAAACGTAAGAAGTTTGATTGACAACCTGACAGCCAATAGAAAATGAGGTAGCCTTTTTATCTATTGGCTGATGTTTATCTGGCTTCACTACGTCCACAGTTGATTTTCTTTTTTTCATTTTTTTTTTTCATCATAATTACAAAGCTGCTGTGTCTCTGTAATGGTATTTTAAACTTTCATTGACAATTTGAAACTGAAAAAAAAAAAAGAATGAAAATCTATCAATTGTTGACGTAGTGAAGCCAGATAAACATCAGCCAATAGAAAACGAGGCTCCCTCATTATCTATTGGCTGTTAGGTCGTCAATCAAACCCCCTAAATTTCTAGTGTAACTGAATCGCTGGGATTACGTGGTTTATGCAACGGTTCTTAGAGGATTTTTTAAACTGTAGCTTCCTCACAATTCGCACAAACTTTGTTGCAATTGCAGACGAGAATCCACGACCAGTTTGTTGCAAAAGAAAGTTCGTTTTTGAGGTCACTGAAAGAAGAAGAGAAGAGGAAAAGGAGCGAAGACAAACTGAGGTGATTCTTGTAGAATCCTTCCAGCGATTGCGCGACTGAAGCAGACGAAGGGTCTAAAAACTGATGCGTCGGTCGCTAAATTATTTCTAGACATGTCACTTCAACAGTCATTCTAAATGCGCACTGGCTGTAAACAAGCGTGATTTCTAGAGCACAGGTGTTAAACATGCGGCCTGGGGGCCAGATCCGGCCCTGCAAGACCTTTAATGTGGCCCTTGGGTGATTTTCAACTAAAATATTTTAATTCTGTTTTTTTATAAAAATTTTGTAAATTTTCTGTGGTGTTTATCACAGCAGCGTCTCCAGCGTCTCTGTACGTGGCCCCTCCCACCAGAGCAGCACAAATGAAGACTTGTCTCTTTCCAAATGTTCTTAAAGGACGATCGTTTTGACTGTTGACCGTGAAAAAAAAAAGTCCAACATGAGAAAAGTGGAGCCGAGTGCAGGATTTTACAACAAAAATTGACTTATTCCTGTTTACATACAAGTTATTGTTAAAACATTGTGCTGAAATTGAATTTTTCTTCAAGTTTCAGGTTGTTCATAATATTATATTATAATAAGAAAGAGTTCATCAATTAAAAAAGATTTCTGTAATAGATTTGTGTTTCTCTGCACAAATATTTGAACTTATTGTTATTTTTGGGGTTTATATGACATGAGTTTTCTGATCCGGCCCCTTTGGGATCAAAGTCGGTTGGATACGGCCCCCGGACCAAAATGAGTTTGACACCCCTGGTCTAGAGTAAAGAGGTGGGAGAAGGTGTTTCTACTGAGGGAGCTGGTGTCACGCATGCACAACATTTGAAAAAGGACTGTCGCTGTCTTTCTCTTTCCTTAAAAAAAATCCTCTATACAACCTTTAAATGTGTATAAATGGGTTGAGAGTTTGATAGAACAGGGCCTGGTTGCTTTGTGGATGCTCCCCGCAGTTACTTATACAGTCTCATTATTAACTTAACTTTACTCTCCTCAATGTGGGCCACGAATAAGCCCCTCCAGTCAGTCAGTCTGCCCCACATCCTCCACATGAAGTGAGCGGGTCCACGGCGCCCCTCCCCCGGCCTCGAACTCGCGCCGGGCCCCGCTGCAACGTGACTGCCTCCTCACGTTGACGCCGGAGCTCCGCCCAATGGCAGAGGGGGCCGCGGCGGGCCTATGGCAGCCGGGAACATTCAAACACAGCCCGGCCACTGCGTGCGAGCTCCGCCGGGGCGGAGCCACACACCACCAGCCTCCCCTTTTTACACTGTTTTCTCCGCTCACACTGGGGGAAAAAAACGGACATAATCTCAGTTTGGGTTCGATGTTAGCAGCAAAAAAGACGATATTTGTGGATATTTTTGACGGATTAAAATGAGGTTGAGACCGAGGAGAACCGTGGAGGCTTTAGCCGAGTCGCCGCCGACCGTCTACCGCCGCCGGCTGCGCAACAAAGCGACGCCGCGGCGGACCCGGGTCTCCGCCGCGACCGAGAGCCCCACACACTGGCTGGTAACGCGGCTTTGTTTTGTCCCCCCCTTCTTCCACAGCAGACAAAAAACACACGGAGCTTACAAAAAGTTACGTGTTAAGCTTTAATTTTGGTGTTTTGACCATCGCCGACGACGTTAACGGAAGATGGCGTCGTGCTTATCTCGAATTCGCCGTGTTTTTGGGGGGATTGATAACGCGGAAAAGAGGCGTTAAATTGTCTAAAATTTGTAAACGTGAATTAACCTTTTATGATTTTATTCTGTGTGAAGTTATGCTCGTTTCTAACACTTGTATTTTGGCTTGTTTTTAGTCGTTGTATTGTCCAAATAACCCGCTAAAGTTCTGAATGTTGCCAGTTCTGAATGTTGCCAGAATTTTCACCAAAATTCAGCATTTGTGGAGTGACCAAATGTTTCTGTTTGTCCGGGACAGTCCAATTTTTGAGCCCTGTGTCCCTTGTCCTAGCAGATTTATCCAAAATTAATAATTTGTCCCAGTTTTGTACAAAAAATGACCCAGGTGTCTATTTTTGACCAATCTGAAACCTGGCAACAGTAAACAGAGGAATAAATTGTCGTTTCTTTCGGTAAAATCCAGAAAAAACTGCTTAAAAATGACCAAAACACAAAGAAAATGTGGCTATACTGACTCACATGTTAGTCATGAATGAGCCGGGAGCATAACAATTTTCCTAAGTTGCGCACTCGTTTCACAATTTTATTTTGTAGTTTTTTTATTTTGAAAATCTGACTTGTCTTAAGCTTTTGTTGTCTTTAAACTTTTTTAACACATAATTAGATTAAACCAGGACGAAACAATGGTTAACTCAAGTCTAAAACTAAACTAAACAGTGATAAAATAGGTTTAAATTAGAACTAACAGGACTTAATCTGGTCCACAAAGGGTCTGAAACAAGTCTAGATGGTACCAGGACTAAACCAGGGACTAAACCAGGGACTAAACCAGGGACTAAACCAGGTCTGGAGAAAGCCCCCTGCTCCACTCTGACACATCCTGCTTTGAGGGGCTCAGTACTTTTCCACTGGGACCACACAAGTTAGTATCTAAAAAAAAAAAAAAATGCTATTGGACAAACTGAAATCGAATTATACACATTTTTACCAGTTTCTACATCAGTTCTTTTTGGTTTACGGACAGTTGCAAAGACGGATTTATGTATTTTGGATAAACAAATGAGAGTTTATGCTGCTCTTCAGATCAGATTAGTCAAAAATTGCGATAGTCCTGTTTTAGAACTGGTTTAATCCTATTTTTAGTCCTGGTTTAGATCAAATTGGTCAAAAAAATAGGGACATTTCTTGTATAAAACTTGGACAAATCAGTGGTTTTGGATAAATCTGTTGGGACAGGGGACACAGGACTCAAAACTGGGACTATTCTGAGTAACTTGTGTAGGGTCAGCCACTTGTTTGTCTCCATGGAGATGCTATTGCTCTGCCTGCAATGTTCCACAGTATGACATTAAACCAATCTATCTAGCAGAGGGTGACCAGATTTTCAAAATATAAAACTGGGACATCTCTGGTTTGAAGCAGTTTGTAATAATAATAAAACTGTGAAACAATCGCGCAATTAAAGAAATTAGTTCTGCACTATCACGAGTCGGTATCATCACATTTTCTTTGTGTTTTGGTCGTTTTTTAAGCAGATTTTGTGGATTTTACCGAAACAAATGACAGCATATGCTTCTCTTGACTGTTGGCAGGGATCAGATTGGTCCAAAATAGAGACACCTGCGATATTTTTTGTGTAAAACTGGGACAAATCACTGGTTTTGGATAAATCTGCTGGGACAGGGGACTCAGAACTCAAAACTGGGACTGTTCCAGGTAAATACAAACGTCTGGTCAAACTAATCATATAAATAAACATGGATTTTTACTGTGAGCGGGTTTGCGTCTCCACAGATCTGACTGGTAACTTGACCTAGTGGCGTAACTTGCGGCAGAAAAGTTAGTACTTCAAATCCTAAGTTAAAAAAGTGCTTTCTATTCTATTGGACACAGACAAACTCCTGACGTCTGAGCCTTTCATGGGGTTTTGTGTACAGTTTTCTTATTTTCATTTCTCTGGCAAATACTGTGATGATGTGTGCTAGAATTTGCGACACTGTTTAAAACGATTCGGCACAGCAAACACACACCTACGCAAAAACTATGTCTATTGTTTGTGCTGCTTTAGTTTTGGAGAGATTAACTGTTCTTTTAAAGGTTAAATTGGGGTCAGCCAGCCCCACGAAGCTTCAAAATCCTCTAAAACGACACAAAATGGAGTCACGGTCCTTCGTTTTGTGCTGATAAAAGATCTGAGGCTGTGGAAAAGTCTGTATTATATAAAATATGAGTCAAAAGCAGATTCCTAAAGACAGATACAGACTTTTCCACAGCCTGAGATCGTGAGCTTGACCTGTAAAAGAATCGTCAATATCTCCTTTGCAGCACAAAACAGCACAAACGATTGACTCAGTTTTGAGTCATTTTAGAGCATTTTGAAGCTTCCTGTGGGGCCAGCTCACCCCAATTCCACCTTTTAAAATAATCTTTAATATCTCAAAAACTAAAGCGGCACAAATGACATTTTTTGCAGCTTAAATTTTGGGCCGTTTAGAGCGTTTTTAATCTTCCTGGGGGCTGGTTGACCCCAGTTTGACCTCTAAAAGAATCATTAATATCTCCAAAACAAAAGCAACACAAACAAAACTTTTGCGGCTCAAACCAGCACAAATGAATGACACTATTTTAGGCCATTTTAGAGCATTTTTACACTTCCTGTGGGGCTTACTGTCCCCAATTTGGCCTGTAAAAGAATCATTAATATCTCCAAAACTAAAGCTACACAAATGAAATTTTTTGCAGCATAAATTTTAGACACAATTTTGGGCCGTTTTAGCGCATTTTTACGCTTCCTGGGGGCTGTCCGACCTCAATTTGACCTGTAAAAATCGTTAATATCTCCAAAACTAAAGCAACACAAACAAATCTTCTTGCAGCACAAACGAAGTGCAAACTATTGACAGTTTTTGTGTAGATTTGCATTTGATGCGGGGCCAACTTCCTGCAGGTCACTGTTAAACAACCCTGAAGTGTTTTATGTTTTGAGAGACGACTGAAATTCGAACTCCTAAACTAATAAAAGAATTCCATGCGATTTCGAACACGCTTTTACACAAATAACACTCCTCGGAGACGGTGAGGACATCTGACACACAGGAACATATTTGTAGAGCTCCTTAACTACAGGGCTGGCAGCTTTTTCACAGACTAACACCTCGTAAAGACACGGGGAGGGCAGACTGAAGGTTGTTTGTTCCTTCCCGACGACATTCTAGCGATGGTACGACGTAAATAATCGCAGCTTTTCCCGTTTGCGTGCGTTTGTTGTGGTGACGTGCCGTCTGCCCGGGGATTACGCTCCGGTCTGGTGGTGTAGCGTGTTAGTCTCTGCTGAGGGAGGGTCGCACGTGGTAAGTAGGTCACGCACACACATGTATGTTTCCCCCAGTCTGTCGGAGGAGTGGAGTTTTACTGCCCCCGTCACGTGTGCGCTGTTTTTAAAGGGTCACGGGAGCGCAGGGAGAGAGAATTTGGGGGGAAAAAAAGAGATGGAAGGAATGTGAAGTTGTTTCTCAAGACGTATTTGACTTTAATCTAGAGTAAATTTATCTCTGAAGTTTGGGTTTTGTTTGAAGTGCACACACAGTACACTACCAGTCAAAAGTTTGGACTCTAGGAATGTGCAAAAATACTGAAATATCGACACTGTATTGTTTAATTTGATGATACAGTATCGATTATCATGGGCTGCTGTATGGGTATATCACCAAGAGTATTTTTAAGTGTATTTTTATTAAATTATTTTGTGTAAGAGCTGCAATTGTGTTGATATTTTCACAGATTTGGGTGAGTAAAATGAGTGTTTTTCATATAAGCTTTGCACAAACTCAGTGGACTTTTAGTATTTTAGCCTTTCTTTTTCACAGAACCGCTTTGAATTGTTTTGGAATATATCGTATCGAATCGTATTGACTCTTACGATACATTTTTCAATATAGTGCACGTATCGGCAACTTCTTGTAGTAGTAGTAGTAGTAGTTTATTTGGTCATTTTGCAGCACTACAAAACGACACAAAACTCTACTATCGACTACAATCCCATGGATCATGACCGAAAGGATTTAGTCTGTAGTAAAAGATACTTATAACTAGGGATGGGCATGATTAATCGATAATTGATCATTAAGAATTTCATCAATTACGTTCATTTTAATCGACAAACCGAATGTATGTTGCTGTGTGTATCGTGACCAAACAGGTGTGTACATGTGTCTCTGCATCAGAAGGAGCGAGACACAAACAGTGGGTCAGTCTGTAACGTACCGAAGCACAAATGTGTATTTAACGATGATTTGTACAAGAAATTCCAGGCTTTCTGTTGCGTTCGGGACAAGTGTGAGTCCATGTGCACAGTGTATAAAGCAGGCACATATGTTTCTGTGTCCAGTGGAAAGAAGTTTTGCCAGGTGAGAGTCGCTCAATGTCGATGATGAGGCCCCGCCCCCCTCCCCCCGTACGCTGTCCTGGTTTTGACAAACGCAGAATATGGTCACACTGAACCTGTATTCACCTGAGTCATGTCTTTTAATCGGACAGAAGTTGAACCACATCAGCGACACAAGAGCTGGAGTTTTATCTTCACTTAGTTTATATAAATTAGTGATGTGGTTTTAAGTTTTGTTTCTGTGAGAGTTGAACAAAACTGAATTAAACACATTATAATCTAAACCGGATTAATGTGGCTCTAGAGTCGTTACGGTTTATATGTGGTAAAGTTGATTTATGCAGATTAGTAGTGCAGATAGTAATAATAATGATGATCATTTTAATATAAAAACGTTAATGATTAATCGATAATCGATCGTTAATTCTTCCGACGATCGATTAAGAAAATTTCATCGAATGCCCATCCCTACTTATAACGCCAAACCTTATTAAACAATGACAGAATATGAACAGCAAGTTAACAATTTCACATACGACATACTACGTATACTCTGGTAAAATCCTGAGAAGATTTAACGGTATCAAAATTTCAATACCGCCCAACCCTAATCCTTAGTAATAACTCATGTTTTATATTGTATATTCTTCCAAATACCTTCACACTGAATGAGAGAGTGTGTCCAACAGAGCTGTGTCTCATTAAGAATGACCCACATGATACAATATCATTTGTCTCTTGTATATTACAGTATTACCAAAATGTTTCAGTACGACTTTGGTAAGTGAAGCTACATCGCTGTGTGGTCTCTGTTTACGACCTGCAGATGTATAATCTAAATAATAATAATCTAAAGTTTCACATGAACCATCTCCAACGCAACACAGACAGAACAGACTCACCGTCAGCAGCACATCCTCTGTCACAGAAAGAACACTCATATTCCACTGAGTCGTGTCCTTTAGTCCGACAGAAGCTGAACGGCATCAGTGCACAAGGAGCGAGCTGTTTTTATCAGAGCTTTAGAGTTTATGCAGATGAGTCATGTGGTTTTAAGTTTTGTTTCTGTAAAACATAAACAAATGTGACTTGAAACCAAAACGCTGCCAAATTGTAGAAGTACTTGTATTTTTTGGGACCAACTCTCTTGTGGTCGGACTTGTCGTCTTGTCTTGGTCTCTTATGAGCGTCACGTGACAACAGAACAAAACTAATCGAACGTCGTCTCCTCACACAGTTAAAAGAAACATTATAGACGCTATTAGTTTTTAATTGTGATAGATTAAACTGAAAATAGAACCACACATTCATTTGTGCTGCGCAAACAAATGTAGGGATCAATAAATTATAATATCATATGAGGTCCTTAAGCGCTGCAGATTTTTTTGATTGACAGTAATGAAATTGATACTGTTGATACTTTCTGATACCGCTGGATACTGTAATACTGTATTACCGCCCAACGCTACTAGGGATGTGTGTAGAACCCCTCAGTCGTTCAGGCAGAATCAATGGCAAAAGGAGAAATTCAGTTTGTTCGGGGTGTGCAAAAATATTGGAATATTGATATATCATATCGCTTAATGTGATGATACAGTATCGATATCGTGGGCTGCTGTATCGATATATCACCAAGAGTATTTTTGGTATATTTTACTAAATTATTTTGTCACAGAGCTACAGTTTTGTTGCTTGTTTAGAGGAAGGAAACTTTTTAATGCGACACATTTGACATTTTCACTGTTTTGATGATTAAAATGTTTGTGTTTCATATGAACTTTGCACAAAAAGTGGTTTAACAAAGACTTTTAGTATCACAGACATGATTTAGCCTTTATTTTTATTGAACTGTATCGAATCCATTTAAAATATATCGTATTGAATCGAAAGCTCACTGTATGGAGGTATGTATCGTATTGGCAACTTCTTAATGATACCCAGCCCTACAGTTTGTCAACTGGACAAAAGTTTATTTGGTTGAACATGTTTCACAGCTCATCCAAGCAACTCAACACTTCCTGAAAGTAATACACCTACATATTTACAGTTTCTGTTCGTTAGACCTATTGAACTTGTACTCAGTGTGGGGTCATATTAGCAAAATCATTCAGGGACATAATGGAGCTTTCTCACCTCTGGGCCTGACCTGGCTGTCACTTTTGTTTTGTTTTCTTTGTTTGTTTTGATTTAGTTTTGAGGAGGGAGTTGTAAATAGGAGACAGATGACGTCAAAGTCCTACGATTCTGTTTAAAGAAGGATTCTCTTTCAAATAAACTTTTCTTCAGTTGACAAATAGATTTTCTCTTTTTGCCCTTACTACGGTTTTGCAAAAATATTGAAATATCGATTATATTGTATTGTCTAATGTGATGATACAATATCAGTATCGTGGCCTGCTGTATCGGTATATTTCCAAGGGTATTTTTCGGTACATTTTACTACATAATTTTGTTACAGCACTACAGTTTTGAGGAAGGAAACACGTCTGTGCAACACATTTGACACTTTGATGAGTAAATTGGGTGTGTTTCAAGTTCACTTTGCACAAGAAGGTTTAACAAACACTTAATGTCACAGCCATGATTTAGCCTTTATATTTGAAATATATCTTATCGGATCGAAAGTGCACTGTATCGAGATATATATCGTATCTACAACTTCTTAATGATACCCGGCTGTATTGGACACGCTGTCTCATTCAGTGTAAAGGTATCTGGAAGAAACATGAGTTACTGCACACTTTTTTGGTTACGAAATGACGTGTTCAATTCATTCATAGTTTGGATGCTTTCAGTGGATCCATAATGTAAATAATAGTCCTAAAGATCCTTTTTTTTAGTCCTTTAAATTACACTAAAGACCTTCACAAGACCCTCTCCATAAACGACATCTGAAATCTATGGAATTCTCATGTTAGTTCAGTCATACAGATTCCAGTCTTTTGTCAAACGTTCTGCTCCTGAGCACATTTTAAATCGGCAACACACAAAAGAATTCTACGTCCACAAGAAAAAAAAATCGACATATTTCCTCACACGTGTTGAAACCGGCGAGTATTCAAGCTTGTGTCGGTGCTAAACCAGTGAAAAGTCAGGAGAGTCTTTACAGCCGCCTCACGCTGCTCCTGAAAAGATTAGTTTGTGCGATTATGATTTTTAAGATATTAACAGCTTTATTTTTCAGCCAGTGTCGTCAACCAGCCCCTCGAAATGTTAAACAGCCTCCAAAAAAGGTAGAAAATTATACAAAAAGTTTGTATTCATGTATCATTTGTGCGAGTACATTTCTAAAATTCTTAATTATTATTTACGCTCAACTGACTGCAGTGGCTTCAGCAAAACTCTGCAAAACTAGTGAAAATAAACGAGCTCAGGCTGTGGAAAAGTCTGTATCTGTCAACTTTGCAACTTTTTTTTTAGCCAATCACAGTCTCTAATCCCTCGCCTCGGTCTTGTTTACTTCCCAAAATAAAGGAAAAAGCTTTGCAGCTCCTCTAATGAGACGAAAGAGCGCGCAGTCTGATCTGTCAACCGCTGCTGAGACTCAAAGTAAAATAATATAAAGTAAAGAGGGAACTATAACGGCGTTACACAGGAAAGAGTATTTCCATAGATTACTGATTACGTTACTGAAAAATCGCTGCTGCTCCTGAAAAGAGGTGCTCAATACTCGGGTCCCAGTCCTAACCCAGGTGTGTGTGGTGTGTTCAGGTGGACTCGGACAGCTCCGGGGACTCGCCAGATGAGGTGCCCACTCTGAGGAGGAGAGTCCCACCCCGAGGACGCCAGAGGAAGAGGCACATCCCAGTGGAGGACCACGACAGAGGTCAGTAACACAACTACAACACATGTATATGACTGTACTGAACCAAGTGACACATACAACAGATCTTTTTCACAATGACGGGAAGTGCTGCGTTTTAGGTTTAAGGAAATTCCAGGTAATGTTTTTTTATGGCAAAATGTGTGTCGTATTCTCCAGCAGCTGCATAAATCTGCCCCATCACCAAATCTTCAACCAACAAGCTCCACAAAGTATAAACATTCTAACATGAACAATTTATCCACACCTATCAAGTGCTCAGATATTTTTATCTAGTGAACATTAAGTTTGTTGAAACTGCTGCAGGCTGCAGTTTCTGCTCTAAACACCGAGTCCCAAACAGATACAGAGTGTTCTCTCAGCATCTGACCAAAAGCACGAGGGATGTAATGTTCTGGTACAATATTTTCACAAAAAACATCTCATGATACAATATTTATTTCAGTGTTTTGTGGAGGCCAAACAAACTAAACTGAATATGCTACTTTTTCCTTTTTAAAATGCCTTGACAAGCCTTTTGCTCTGTCATTATCCTAAAAACTAACATTTAAAAGTGCTCAATAATCCTTGTATCATTCGTTTATTCGTTTTTCAATATAAAACCAAAGCTAAGAAAACTAAAACAAACAACTGTTTTCTTCATTATTTGTCTCCAAAACCAAAATGAAAAAAGGATAACAGTTCGTTTTTTCAGTTTTTGATTTTGTGTTTAAATGAGGAATGGAACAAACGGATAACGGACTGATCCAGATCTGGGACTGAGACCGGGACTGAGACCGGGACTGATCCAGATCTGGGACTGAGACCGGGACTGATCCTGAGACCGGGACTGATCCGACCGGGATGACCGGGACTGAGACCGGACTGACCGAGACCGGGGACTGAGACCGGGACTGAGAGACCGGGACTGAGGACTGAGACCGGACTGATCCAGAGACCGGGACTGATCCAGAGACCGGGACTGAGACCGGGACTGAGACCGGGACTGAGACCGGGACTGAGACCGGGACTGAGACCGGGACTGAGACCGGGACTGAGACCGGGACTGAGACCGGGACTGAGACCGGGGACTGAGACCGGGACTGAGACCGGACTGAGACCTGATCCGGGACTGATCCAGAGACCGGGACTGATCCAGATCCGGGACTGAGACCGGGACTGATCCAGATCCGGGACTGAGACCGGGACTGATCCAGATCCGGGACTGAGACCGGGACTGATCCAGATCCGGACTGAGACCGGGACTGATCCAGATCCGGGACCGAGACCGGGACCAGTCACGTAAACGGGAAACGTCCGTTATCCGTTTTTTCCATTTTTCATTTAAACACAAAATGGAAAACAGAAAAAACAAATCGTTATCTGTTTTTCATTTTCTTATTTTTGGTTTTACATTGAAAAACGAATGAACGAATGATACACGGATTCTCAATAACGGTTATTTCATCTGTAATCTGCAGTGAAACAGAGCAAAGGATCATGGTCTTTGTAGTTCCTCTGTTGTTGTTTTTTTAGCAATTGCAGCACCATAACAATTCATTTAAGCAAAGAGACCTGTCATATTGATTTTATTGTGTGACTTTTGTTGATAATATAACATTATATTTCAGTTGTTACACCCCAAGAAAAGTCCCCCCCCGTTTCGTGACAGGATTTGGAACATTTTTTTTTTCTTTTTATGTGATTTTGTGCAACAGTTTTAGGTTGATTTTTAGTCTTGGCTTCAGTCCGGGGGAATAAGTTTTGTTTCTCTATTATCAGATGAAAAGATAACGGGATTTGGTATCAGCAATTTATAGATTTTAAGTAAACATTTTATTCACAAATGTCGTTTTTTTAAGATTAATCCACACACGCACATGAAAGTGACATTAAATTCCAGCCTTTATCGTTCAGTCAAACATGAGGAAACATCATGAGTGTTCCTCAGGTCCAGATCCAGCGGGTTGTGATCCTGAAACAGTGTGATATAAAACTGACTTGTTGACTCTTTGTCCTCCTCCAGACCTGACGTTTAAGACTCCCTTCCGCTCCATCATCCGTCAGGAGCGTGTGCTGTCCGAGATCGACCCGGTGACGCCCCGCAACACCACGGCCCGCAACATCTACTCCCCCATCGTGCGCTTCCTCACGCCCAGCAAAGAGAGTGAGTGTCACCGTGTGAAAGCGTCAGACTCTGTAGTTTAGATCTGTACAAACGTCGTGATTCTTGTATTTGTTTGTAATTTTTGTGTTTTAAAATGTGAACTTTAAACTGAATCCTTTTTTAAAAACATAAATCACAAATCTAATCAGTCACGAGGCTTGTCAGATAAATCCCTGTTTGATATTTCTCCCAAATCCCGTCATGTAAACGCTCCATCTGATTTTTTATCGTTTTCATCTGTTTTTTTTTTTTTTTTTACAAGGAAAAGTGCAGTGCTGTTTAAAAAAAAAAAGAACAAGGAAGCAAAGATCAAAGAATTATATATAAAATTTGTTATACTTTGTCCGTGTACCAGTCGTTCTTCTGAATTTCACTTAAGAACGAAAAACGAATAAATTGGGAAAACGGTTTATTAAATTTTTTCTGTTTTGGTGTCAAAAAAACCAAAAAAAACAAACAGTATTTAAAGTCAATTTCAAATAACATCAATTACAAAAAACAGTCTTGGTGCCCATTTCAGTTTTGATATTTTATTCTCTCTGGTTTATTTGCCCTGGAAGTTCTGCTGTTGGAAGAGAATAAAGTATCAAAATATCAAAATTGGAATAGGCACAAAGATTATTTGAAATAAACTTTCAAATAAATATTTTAAATAGAGGTTGAAATCTGTTTTTCTGTTTGACACTAAAACGGAAAAATGAAATAAACTGTTTTCCAATTTTATTGTTTTTCGTTCTTAATTGAAATTCAAAAGAATGAATGTTACGTGGACCAATCACCTGACAAATTAGGACAAATTTTATATAACTCCTTTTTCTTTCATTTTGTCTTTTGCGCTTTTTTACATACTGCACTGTACTTTTTCTTGTAAAAAGGAGATGAGAACGATGAGAAATCAGATGGAGCCAATGACATGATGTAGGATTTAGGAGAAATATCAAAGTGGGATTTTTCTGACAAGCCTCGTGACTGACCGGATTTGGTGATTTATGTTTTAATAATAAATAGGATTCAGTTTTAAAGTTCACATTTTAAACACGTCCAGAAGAACTGACAAAAACACTGAAATCAGATTTTCTCTGCACACGCGCTCACTTCTGTGTGTAGATATTTTGTGAAGTGTTTTTGCGTTTTGGACTTTAACCTGACGCTCGTCTCTTGTCACAGATATGACATGTCACGGTGCAGCTCCTCACGTCCTGATGAGTCCGGAGCAGGGCGTGTTCGGGTACGGATCCATGGAGCTGCTGGCGGGAGACGAGGACGACGACGTGTTCAGCCCGTAAGGACCCGAGCACGGCCGTAGTACGTGTACCGGTGTGGCAGAGTGGTTAACAGTGCTCTTGTGTGTTGCAGCTTCACCTTCGTCAAAAACATCCCGTCTCTGTCGGAGCACGCCCAGCCCCAACTCCGAGACATCCCCCCGAAAACCAGGAGCACCCCCGAAGCCACGCTGGTGCTCGACCTGGTCAGTCTACAACACGCGCACACACACACACACACACACACACACACAAACACACACAAACACACATATGAAAACACATACACTAAATAGCACACAAAAACACACACACAAAACAGACAAAGACACAAAAAACATACAAAAATACACACAAAACACACACAAATGAAAACACACACACAGAAACACACAAAAATAACACAAACAAAAAAATAACAAACACACACAAAAAACACGCACATACAGAAAAAACACACACAAGAAAACACACAAATGAAAATACACAAACGAAAATATATGAAAACACACGGAAGCACACAAAAAATAACAAACACACACAAAAAAACCCACACGAAAACACACACTTACATAAAAAACACACACACAAAAATATACAAAAAATACACACAAAAAACACACAAACGAAAATATATGAAAACAAACACAAAAAAATAACACACACAAAAAAAACATACAAGAAACACACACACGAAAACACACACAAAACACACACACAAATCACGAAAACACACAAAAATAACACACACAAATAACAAACGCACAAAAAAAAGAAACACACAAAAAAACATACAAAAAATACACACAAACGAAAACATAAGAAAACACACACACAAATATACACACAAACACACACATATGAAAACACATACGCAAAATAGCACACAAAACACACACACAAAAAGCATACAAAAATACACACGAAAACACACTCACGGAAACACACAAATAACACACACAAAAAAACAACCACGAAAACACACACATACATAAAAAAGACACACATAAAAATATACAAAAAATACACACAAAAAACACAAATGAAAACACACACAAAAAATAAAGCACACACACACACACAAAATAACACAAAAACATACAAGAAACACACACAAACAAAAACATATGAAAACACACACAAAACACACACACACACAAATCACGAAAACGCAGACACGAAAACACACAAAAATAACACACAAATAACAAAAACACACGCATAAAAAAAAAAGAAACATGCAAAAAAGCATACAAAAAATACACACAAACGAAAACACACACGAAAACACAAAATAATACACATAGAAAAAAACACACGAAAACACATACTTGAAAACATACACACACAAAAAACACAAATAAACACACACAGACACGAGACTGTAAATGTGATTCTGACGTGAGTTGATAAAATGTGCAGCAGCGTTGGTTCTGTCTGTGGATTTTCTGTTGGAATATTTTTAGAATCACTAATTACTCTGGAGTTTTTTGATTGGAGGAAAAAGTGTGTCTCAAAATGTCGCCGTGAGCACGAAGCAGAACAGACGACTGAAACTATTTTATATTTTGTTCATTTTCAACGTGTCGGTCTATTCTAGTCATTAACTGACACCTACTGCTACTACTACTGCTGCTACTACTACTGCTACTGCTACTGCTGCTACTACTGCTGCTACTACTACTACTACTACTACTACTACTACTACTACTACTACTACTACTACTAGTACTGCTGCTGGAACTATTAAAACTGCTGTTACTGCTACTTCTACTACTACTACTGTTCCTACTACTAATACCTCTACTACTGTTATAGCAAATCCTACCGTAACTCTTACTGCTGCTACTACTGTTACTACTACTGCAACTACTGTTACTACTACTGCAACTACTGTTACTACTACTGCAACTACTGTTACTACTACTGCAACTACTGTTACTACTACTGCAACTACTGTTACTACTACTGCAACTACTGTTACTACTACTGCAACTACTGTTACTACTACTGCAACTACTGTTACTACTACTGCAACTACTGTTACCACTGCTACTACTACTACTTGTTACTTCTATTACTGCAAATCCTATTGTTACTGCTGCTACTCCTACTACTACTACTACTACTACTACTACTGCTACTGCTGCTACTGCTACTGCTACTACTACTACTACTACTACTACTACTACTACTACTGTTACTACTGTTACTGCAAATCCTACGGTTACTGCTTACTACAAGTACTACAACTACTAGTACTACTGTTACTGCTAATATTGTTTTATAACTGGTTTATAAAAGTGTCTTTGTATTAAAATAAGAAACATTTTTACATTTGACTGTATCATTTGTGATAAAGTGTGAGATCTACATGTGTCTGTAAAAACAATGAAAACACATTTTGGACTCAGCATTGTTTTAATCCAGTAAAACACAAACTCAGTCCGTGTGTTGTAATTATAATCCTGCATCGTTGACTTTGTGTGTTGTTGTTGTTGTTTGTTCAGGAGGAGACTCTGATGTACAGCTCTCTGACACCGATCGAAGACGCAGAGTACTCCTTCACCACCGTGTTCCAGGACCACCAGTACAAGGTCAGACACGAGCGCACGTGTGGAGGCTCGTGCTCCTACTAAAGTGTTAAAAAAAAAGAAAAAAACATCACCAAGTCTGAGAAAGTTAAGAATAATGCAACGTAAAACAGCTTCAACTCGGACTTTAATGGAGTCTGACCTGAATTTCTTTAATGGAAATGTCCACAGCCAATTCTCTAAAAGACTGTGGAGAGGAGCAGAGTTCAGATTTTGAGTAATAAATTTGACTTTTTCTTGTATTAAATGGTCGTATGGGTAACACTTTATAATAACTACACCTTACTTAGCCTTAATAAAGCATGAACAAAGACTTAAAGGTTGTATAGAGGATTTTTTAAGGGAAGTGAAATACAGCGACAGTCCTTTTTCAAATGTTGTGCATGCGTGACACCACCTTCCTCCTCCACAGGTCCCTCAGTAGAAACACCTCTTCCTGCCTCTTTACTCTAGAAATCACGCTTGTTTACAGCCAGTGCGTGTTCAGAATTACTGTTGAAGTGACCTGTCTAGAAATATTTTAGTGACCGATGCGTCAGTCTTTAGACCCTTCGTCTGCTTCTGTCGCACCATCGCTGGAAGGAATCTCCAAGAATCACCTCAGTTTGTCTTCGCTCCTTTTCCCCTTCTAGTCGTCTTTCAGTAACCTCAAAAATTTACTTTATTTTGCGGTGAACTGGCCGTGGATTCTCGTCCACCATCGCAACAAACTTTGTGTGAATTGCAAGAAAGCGACAGTTTGAAAAAACCTCTAAGAACCACTGCATAAACCACGAAATCCCTGCGAGTCAGCGAGTCAATAACACTAGAAACATAGGGAGTTTGATTGACAACCTAACAGCCAATAGATAAAGAGGGAGCCTCGTTATCTATTGGCTGATGTTTATTTGGCCAAACTACGTCCACAGTTGATAGACTTTCATTGTTTCTTTTTTTTGGTCATCATAATTACAAGGCCGCTACGTCTCTGTAATGGTATTTTAAACTTTCAATGACAATTTGAAACAAAACAAAAAATCCTCCATACAACCTTTAATTAATAATGAACAAAGACTTAATTAATAATGAACAAAACTTAATTAATAATGAACAGAGATTTAATTAATAATGATTCACTCTTAGTAAATACTTAATAAAGCATAATTTGTCTTCACTTTAGAAAAACTCTCAAAAAGACTGAACTAACAGATAACAGCTGCCTGAATTATCATTGCATTGCATTATTAGTAAATCATTCTCTCATGACTTACTAATGATTAATAAATGCTCAAATGGTTAGTTCATGAGTAATTAAGTATGAAATAATTATGAGTAACTATTTACAGCACAGGCAAATTAAGTGCAAGTGCTAATTATGGTAGTAATTAAGTAGTTACTAAGCATGAATCATTATTAAGTCCCTTCTTCATTATTATTTAAGCCTTTGATCATGCTTTATTAAGGCTAAATAAGGTGTAGTTATTATAAAGTGTTACCGTCGTATGAAATTAATACTGACCTTTATTTTATTTTATTAGTGAGGCAAAATAAATCATGAATGCTAAATATGAGAGTCAAATCACCAGCCCTTTGAAAATTATGTTAAAATGTGCCATCAGACATGGAAAAAAATGAGGAAAAATGCCAAATGTTTCCACACTTTTCTTTGCATTATCGGACATCAACTGAATAGACTTTTACTGCCACCATCAGAGTAGAAAGGGCAGTTAGTTTTGCTTGTATCTTAGTCGTGAACATTATTCCTTTGTTCTGACTCAGACGTCTGTTCGCAGGTGTACATGGTGCTGCGTCCGTTTGTCAAAGAGTTTCTACAGGAAGTGTCCAAAAACTACGAGGTAACGCTTAAGAATCGTCATGTGACCTGTGGGGTTTTCCATTAAAATAGTTTATCCTGAAATCCTGATCTGAATCTAGCGCCATCTTTATCTTAAGCCTCAAGTTGTTCCATCGCAGAAATAAACCTGAGTTTGACCAGAGCTAATTCAGGTCTGAAGTTTAAGCTGGACTTTGTGCTCGCGGTGACTCTGAAAAGACCAGATCAATGGAGCAACAACATCACAGAAAATGGGATGATTTTTAGAATGTGATTAAATGAGTGGGTGTGCGCTGTGACTCCTCTGAGTTTGATTCGTTCCATGGAACTTTTCTACTTCATTCTGATCTGAAGAGTGAGAGGAAAGACACAACTCCTCCTCTTCTCCTGTTCTCCTCCTCCTCCTGGTCGCTCTGTGGACAAAGAGGAGGTTAATGCACCCGGGGGATGGAGTGGCCTGACCCCTTGTGCGGTTTTCCGCTGTGTGTAGGAGCGATGGACTGTAAAAGTCTGAAGCCACACGTGACTAAAAAAGTCACTTTTTAAACTGTATCAGACGGAGACAGGTGTGTGATGCACAGGCTGAAACTTTGGACTAATCTGTTTCTTTAGACGTTCTTGGAGATGGAGCTAAAATAATCTTGACAGTTAGTCTGGTCCTGACCAGGTTTGTTTCCAGGTGCTTGTTACTGCGTCATCTCAGCACCACCTCTGTTTAGTCACTTTGGTGGAACTGAGGCTTTGATAAACCTGGATTGGCCAGATAATCCAGGCTTTCGCTTTAGCTCGCTTCATGGAAAAGCCCCCTGGTCTGATGCAGTTTAGTTTAGCTCCAGTGATGCTCCACACAAACCTGAAGGACTGACTGTTTGTGTTTGTGTTGCAGCTATTTATTTACACGTGCGCTAAAAGAGAATACGCCGAGAACATCCTGGACGTCCTGGACCCTCACAGGAAACTCTTCAGGTGAGACCCACGAGCTTCAGACGACTGCTGCCTCTGCGTTTATACACTGTGTATGTACTGACCCTCTGCCGCCCCCTGCAGGCACCGTCTGTACCAGGACGACTGCTCCTGTGTGCTGGGACACTACATCAAGGACCTGACCATCCTGGGACGAGACCTGTCCAAGACCGTGGTGCTGGACAACGCCCCCCACACCTACCCCCACCACGTAAGCACCGCACTCACAGCACCTCGATACACTCTACACGCTCTAGTCCCACACCTACCCCCACCACGTAAGCACCGCACTCACAGCACACACTACACGCTCTAGTCCACACCTACCCCCACCACGTAAGCACCGCACTCACAGTACACAACGCACAACGCTCTAGTCCCACACCTACCCCACCACGTAAGCACCGCACTCACAACACCGATACACTCTAACACGCTCTAGTCCCACACCTACCCACCACGTGCACCGCACTCACAACACAACATACACTCTACACGCTGTCCCCACACCTACCCCCACCACGTAAGCACCGCTCACAACACACGATACATCTAGTACACCTACCACGTAAGCACCGCACTACAGCACAACGATACACTCTACACGCTCTAGTCCATACCCCCACCACGTAAGCACCGCACTACACAGGTACTGATGTAACAATACAAATGTTATGGTGTGATCAAGAACATATTGTGACAAACTGTGATGCAACATGGAAATGCATGTGATACTGAGTGGACATGCTTGTGCATTGCACAAATTTGGTTCTGCGTTACTGGCATATTCAACAATTAAGATGGAAACCTTCTTTTTTAACAGTTATTTCTTCATGTTGGAACACAGGATCGTGGTCTGTGTAGTGTTGCTCCTACTACAAACTTCTAATTCCGCCCATGATGTCACTGTGAGACCTCTGACCAAACGAGATCACGATATTTCAGTTACTGTTCCATCCCTAGACAAGACTTGATATTTGAGACCAATTCAAAACCATAAAAACCTTCTGTACTGAACCCTTCAAGAACTTTGTGTATTTTATTTTAGAAAAGGACTTATTTTCAGTCAGCTGACGTGCTTTACCGCTAAGGGTCACGTCACGGTCATGTTAACAACAACTAGCATGCTAACAGCGCATCAACACTGCATCTTGATTTGTAGATGAACCAATGAAACTGTTTATAATTAATTACAGACGAGGCACAGCTGTCTCATTTTGACCCCAAGAGCTTTGAGATTTGATAATATCTGTATGTAAATCCAAATCCACTTTATTTCTAGAAGCACATTTTACAAACAAAACAGTTTCCAAAGTGCTGCACAGAGATCAGAACATGAAGACAACAAAACGGTAAATTGCAAAAATGTACCGTTTATAGGCATAACGGTCCTAAAACAATAAAAGCAAAAGCATAAAATCATGAAAGAGCAGCAAATAAGTCAACCACAGGACCACACAACTCAGAATAAAAAGTGGGTTTTAAGACGAGACTTAAAACTCTCCACTGTGGGGCTGTTGGGACGTGGGGCGGGCAGAACGTTCCAGAGTTTGGGACTGACCACAGAGAAGGTCCCGTCCTCCTGGTTTTAAGTCTCGTCTTAGGCCCCACGAGCTGGAGCCGGACCTCGGAGTAAATCAGGAGGAGGTCCGAGACGTGACTGAGACGAGTCTGTTCAAAGCTTTAAAAACAAATAATAAAATCTTAAAATCTGTTCTAAGTTCTGAGGGAAGACAAATGTAACTTTATTACATGGGAAAAAAAATAAGGTACAGATCCTGAAACAGATGATTTATAGATTGCACCTTCTTGTTTACGAGCATCATTCTTTCCTGTTCTAGTTACGTAATAGTTTTAGATGTTTAATCTCTATGGTAACGGTGTGTGTGTGTGTGTTCGTGTGTGTGTTGTGTGTGTGTTCCAGCTGATGAACACCATTCCCATTAAGAGCTGGAGCGGAGAGCCCGAGGACCGCGAGCTGCACCGGCTCATCCCCTACATGGACAAACTGTGCTCTGCTGTGAGTCACCGTCTCCCGTCCACACCAGAGGCTCGACTCGCACTGGAGCTGTCACCGCACGCACAAAACACGCACAAAACACGCACGAAACACGCACGAAACACGCATAACACACGCGCACAATAACACGCACATAACACGCACATAACACGCACATAACACGCACATAAACACGCACATAACACGCACATAACACGCACATAACACGCACATAACACGCACATAACACACGCACATAACAAACGCACATAACAAACGCACAACACGCACATAACAAAACGCACAACACGCGCATAACACACAAAAGACGCACATAACGCACACATAACTTGCACAAGACACGCGCAAAACACATGCACACAACTTGCACACCAAACACACATACAAAACGCGCACGCAACACTTGAATAAAACACGTGCACAAAACACACACAATAGAAAACACATGCACAAAACACATGCACAAAACACATGCACAAAACACACGCACAAAACACACGCACAAAACACACACAAAAAACGCACAAAACACACGCACAAAACACACACAAAAAACGCACAAAACACATGCACAAAACACACAACAAATAGAAAACACGCGCACAAAACACATGCACAAAACACACACGCACAAAACACACGCACAAAACACACGCACGCACAAACACACGCACAAAACACACGCACAAAACACGCACAAAAACACGCACAAAACACACGCACAAAACACACGCACAAAACACACGCACAAAACACACGCACAAAACACACGCACAAAAACACACGCACAAAACACACGCACAAAACACACAACAAATAGAAAACACGCGCACAAAAAACACACGCACAAAAACACACACAACAAATAGAAAACACACGCACAAAACACACGCACAAAACACACACAACAAATAGAAAACACGCGCACAAAACACATGACAAAACACACGCACAAAAACACACGCACAAAACACACACAAAAAACGCACAAAACACGCACAAAACACACACAACAAATAGAAAACACGCGCACAAATCACGCACACACACGCACAAAACACATGCACAAAACACACACAAAACACGCACAAAACACACAAAACACATGCACAAAACACGTAGCAAAACACACACGGACCACACTGAGGAACAGACTCTGATACCAACACTCGTTCTTTACACAACAGAATGGGATTTTCAGATTTTCATTAGTGTGGCTTTATATCTGTGTAATCCCTCTGTGGTCCAGGTTCCATCGGGTCTGTCGCTCTTATACTGAAGTGATTCAGGACGGGTTCATTTCTGTCCTGAAGATATGACTCTTTTAGTATCAATACCTGCTGAAATTAGCGTCACATTTTCAGTATTTTTGACCCTAGTCTTAGCTCATACTCAAATTTCCTGTCAGACTTGTACAGATTTTTGTACAAACTGCAAATGTGCTGAAATACATGAGATTCTTGCATTAGTCAATAGATCTTTTTCACAACGGCTGTAGGTTTGAGGAGCTTCTGGTTAATGTTTTTCTGTGTCAAAGTGTGTGTGTAAATGTGTGTCGTATTCTCCGGAAGCTTCATAAATCTGCCCCATCACCAAATCTTCAACCAACAAGAATTTATCCACAACTATCGAGAGAAGAAAGACGAAAACTTAAAGGCGACAACGACGACGCATTAGTGACACACTGAACAAAACTAATGTTATGGTCACGAATAAAACAGAAGTAACTTGTTCACTCAGACTGATTCTACAATTAAAATTAAAAACATTAGTTTAGTTCAGTGTGTCACTAATGCGTCGTCGTCGTTCTTCCTTTTAAGTTTTCATCTTTCTTCTCTTGAAAGTTGTGGATAAATTGTTCATGTTAGAATGTTTATCCTTTGTGGAGCTTGTTGGTTGAAGATTTGGTGATGGGGCAGATTTATGAAGCTGATGGAGAAAACGACACACATTTACACCGATATTTTGACACACAAAACCATTAACCGGAAATTCTGCAAATCTACAGCAGGACACTTCCGGCCGTTGTGAAAAAGATCAATGGTAACACTTAATAATAACTACACCTTATTTAGCCTTAATAAAGCATGAATAAAGACTTAATTAATAATGAACAAAGACTTATTTAACAATGATTCACGCTTAGTAAATGTTTAATAAAGCATAATTCGTCTTCACTTTAGAAAAGCTCTCAAAAAGACTTAACTAACAGATAACAGCTGCCTGAATGATCATTGTATTGCATTATTAGTAAATCATTCTCTCATAGTTTACTAATGATTAATAAATGCTCAAATTGTTAATCCATGAGTAATTAAGTATGAAATAATTATAAGTAACTATTTACAGCACAGGCAAATTAAGTGCAAGTGCTAATTAAGGTAGTAATTAAGTAGTTACTAAGCGAGAATCATTATTAATTCTTTGTTCATTATTAATTAAGCCTTTGTTCATGCTTTATTAAGGCTAAATAAGGTGTAGTTATTATAAAGTGTTACCAGATCAATTCAGAGGCCAGTTTAAGTCTTTTTGTCAGCTGTTTAAAACATGAACGTTGAACAGAATCAACAGAATTAAAGCAAAGATGTTAATTTTGTCTTCTTATGTACTTTAACTTCTTAAGGTTCCTTTTAAAGACAATACAATAAATACACTTTACAGGTAAATACACTTTACTGTTTTGTCTTTAAAAGAACCAAAGAAGTCAAACTGAATCCTATTATTAAAACTTAAATTGCAGATTTAGTCGCAGTGCTTGTCAGAAAAATCAGACGTTTTTTCCTAATCATTCAGGCCATTTAATAGAAGCGTTTACGGCGCTGTGAGTCTGTGCTGCTGTTCTAGTGAGTGACCTGCAGGTGGCAGCACAGGCCCAAGTGTGACCGTCTGAGGCGCACGGAGCTCAAGTGTCTGTTTACATATCAGCTCTGGTTTTAGCGAGTGTGTTTAACCTGCTCCTGTCATGTTGGTGGTACTTAACTGTTTTTCTGTTTTTACGGCTGCGTCCTGTGAATCAACAGTCACAGCGACGCGAGTTTAAATCAAATAAAAGCAAAATGTGGTTTTATTCTCAATCTTTCCCATCAAATGCTTCATCAATAATAAACACTATAATATTTTTACACATGTGGGATGTAGTTTAATTTCTGAGATCACATAAGACTTCAGGATTTGAACTACTTTAATCTTACCTTTCTAAAAATCTTTCTGTTCTTCTGTCCCTTCGCTCTTCACACAAACTGAACCTCTGCAAACTCATGTTGGCTGGTGTGACTGGGAGGGCATCTGGGTGAAAACTGCAGCGTCACTTTGAGCCGCGCTGACCTCTGACGACCCGATGAAGGGAGCAGGGTGAACTCTGTCTCTGTCTGACACTCCTGCTGTGTTTTTCAGGAGGACTTCCGGGAGGTGCTGAAGAAGAGGAAGGACCACTTCCACAGACTGCTGTCCGAGGACTAGCTCCGCCCCCTCGTGACCAGCCCCCCCTGGCCCCGCCCCCTTTGCCCACGCCCCCTCCTCGTCCCTCCACGTCCCTGCCTCCTCTGCCCTGTCCTCTCCTCCTCCTCGTCCCTCCTCGTCCCTCCTCGTCCCTCCTCGTCCCTGCCCTCCTCTGCGTCCTTGCCCTCCGTCCCTCCTCGTCCTTGCCTCCTCTGCGTCCTTGCCTCCTCGTCCCTCCTCGTCCCTCCTTGACCCTGCCTCCTCTGCCTCTGCCCCTCCACGTCCTCCACTCCCTCTCGTCCTCTTCGTCCCTCCTCGTCCCTCCTGTCCCTCCTCTGTCCCTCCTCTGTCCCTCCTCCCCTCCTCTGCCTCCTCCCTCCTGTCCCTCCACGTCCCTCCACGTCCCTGCCTCCTCTGCGTCCTTGCCTCCTCGTCCCTCCACGTCCCTGCCTCCTCTGCGTCCTTGCCTCCTCGTCCCTCCACGTCCCTGCCTCCTCTGCCTCCACGTCCCTCCACATCCCTCCTCGTCCCTCTTCCTCTGTTCCCTCCTCTTCGTCCCTCCTCTGTGTCCCTCCTCTTCGTCCCTCTTCTGCTCCTCCTCTGTCCCTCCTCTGTGTCCCTCCTCGTCCCTCCCCTGTGTCCCTCCTCGTCCCTCTTCGTCCCTGCTCTGTGTACATTCCCGCAGTGGCCGCTGTCTGGTCTCCTTGTGAAGAGCAGACTGCGTTTCAAACAGGTCGTCCATCACTTCCACAGACTCCTGCTTTAAACAATGAACCTCCAGCTCCGTGTACTGTGCAGATATTGTTTATATTATAATTTATTGATTATACTAATCAGCCTTTGTTATCTCTGTATATATTTTACATACTTTCTTTTTTTATGCAATAAAAGTGGCCCAGATGTTGTGGGCTTAAAGACATGTTTGAGTTGTTCTTCTTTTTAAACTTTTTACACGCTGAAGTTTGTTCTACACACAAAGATTCTCTCAGATGTGATGAGCTCGTGTGAGGGACGCCACAGACGCCACAGCGGCTCAGTGTTTGGCTCCATCACCACAAGTTCAAGTTTTGGGTGATTTCATAGATGCAGATGCAGGGCAGGAGCTTATATAACTGAGAGATTCACTGTTTTTGTAAGAAATCAACAAACCTGCAATTGAACAGTTAAACTCCACCGAAGAATTGTGATGATTTTCCAGCTCCGTGTGAACTCCAGACTCCAGTGAAGTCGTGTGAACGCGGCCTACAGGATTCTATCTGTCCACTCCCTCAGTTCCGTCCGTGTCTCCCTCCAGGGGAAGTGCATATCTCTGTTGTGGCAGCTGCTCAGGGACGACCTCACTCATCCGACCACAGTCAGCAGGAGCAGCAGCCACACTGTCAATGGGGAAGTTCATTATAGTGAAGTCAACAAAAGAGCTGCAGCTTTACAACACCTCAACACAAAAGGACAATGTACTAGAGGAACTATACTCCACTGTGTACTTCACTATGTACTGACTGTACTTCTCTCTCTACTCCACTGTGTACTCCACTCTCTACTCCACTGTGTACTCCACTGTGTACTCCACTGTGTACTCTACTGTGTACTCTACTGTGTACTCCACTGTGTACTCCACTGTGTACTCCACTGTGTACTCCACTGTGTACTCCACTGTGTACTCCACTGTGTACTCCACTGTGTACTCCACTGTGTACTCCACTGTGTACTTACTGACTGTACTTCTCTCTCTACTCCACCGTGTACTCCACTCTCTACTCCACTGTGTACTACTGTGTACTCTCACTGTACTGTGTACTCCACTGTGTACTTCCTCTCGTGTACTCCACTGTGTACTCCACTGTGTACTGTGTACTCCACTGTGTACTCCACTCTCACTGTACTCCACTGTGTACTCCACTCTCTACTCCACTGTGTACTCTACTGTGTACTCCACCGTGTACTCCACTGTGTACTCCACTATGTACTCGACTGTACTCCACTCTCTACTCCACTGTGTACTCCACTGTGTACTCCACTGTGTACTCCACTCGTGTACTCCACTGTACTCCACTCTCGTACTCCACTGTACTCCACCGTGTACTCCACTCTCTACTCCACTGTGTACTCCACCTTGTACTCCACTATGTACTCCACTGTACTACTCCACTGTACTGTACTCCACCTGTACTCCACTGTGTACTCCACTGTGTACTCCACTGTGTACTCCACTGTGTACTCCACTCTCTACTCCACTCTCTACTCCACTGTGTACTCCACTGTGTACTCCACGTACTCCACTGTGTACTCCACTCTCCACTGTGTACTCCACTCTCTCCACTGTGTACTCCACTCTCTACTCCACTGTACTCCACTGTCTACTCCACTGTGTACTCCACTCTCTACTCCACTGTGTACTCCACTGTGTACTCCACTGTGTACTCCACTGTGTACTCCACTCTCTACTCCACTGTACTCCACTGTGTACTCCACTGTACTCCACGTGTACTCCACTGTACTCCACTGTGTACTCCACTGTGTACTCCACTCTCTACTCCACTGTGTACTCCACTGTGTACTCCACTGTGTACTCCACTGTGTACTCCACCAGTGTACTGACTGTGTACTGACTGTGTACTGAGTGATACTTGAGCCTGTTTGAGGGCTGGACTCGCTCTGAGAAAAAAGTTTAATCATGTACAAGTCAGATTTAAGTCGTGTTTGATGAGCTCCTGATTAGTCACTTGGCAAATAAGTACAGTGTGTTTTAAACTTCATTTTATTTAAAGTCTGATCGTTGTTTTCTAATGTTTCCTCGTCCCACACAGACCTGGAGTTGTGTTTTGTTTCATTCACACACGTTGAACACAAACCCTGCAGATTTCAGATGAGTTTTTATCTCAAACTGAAAACATTACAAATATCAGTGAGGCTTTTGCAGTGCTGTATACTGAATATTGAGAACTGAGTCTTTTCTGGTTCAGACATTTGCTTGCATCACCCCAGAATAACCGCTTATTACATTAAAATGACGGATGGAACTCACATTTTTTCCAAAGCTCGCTCGTTTTTTTCCCCCACACACTGGTTCAGAATCGTTCATCTGTATCAGTATTTCCATCACACGAGAAACAAAACAAATGTACGACGTGTTTATAACGTGACGAGTGAAAACCAAAGCGGCTTCTGAATCAGGACAACGTTTTGATCAAGAGACACTGAACCACGAGTCAGGCCGGCGCCACCCAGTGCCTCCGCTCAAGTTCATTTCTCTCCAGCGACTCGGTCAGGAATCAGAAAACACTAGACCAGGGGTGTCCAAACGTTTTTCATCAAGGGCCACAAATCTAAACACAGAAGAAGCAGAGGGCCGATCGAGGGCCGCAGACTGGAGCTCAGTACTGTGAATAATTAAAGGTTGTATGGAGGATTTTTTGTTTTGTTTTGTTTGTTTCAAATTGTCAGTGCAAGTTTAAAATACCATTACAGAGACGCAGCAGCTTTGTAATTATGATAAAAAATCAAAAAATAATGAAAATCGATCAACTGTGGACGTGTTGAGGCCAGATAAACATCAGCCAATAGAAAACGAGGCTCCCTCATTTTCTATTGGCTGTTAGGGTGGTCAATCAAACTCCCTACGTTTCTAGTGTAACTGACTCATCAGCGCTTGGGGATTTCGTGGTTTACGCAGCGGTTCTTAGAGGCTTTTTTAAACTGTCGCTTCCTCGCAGTTCGCACAAAGTTTGTCGCGATGTTGGACGAGAATCCACGACCAGTTCGCCGCAAAAGAAAGTCGGTTTTTGAGGTCGATGAAAGAAGAAGAGAAGAAGGGAAAAGGAGCAAAGACGAACTGAGGTGATTCTTGGAGATCTCGTCCAGCGACGGCGCGACTGAAGCAGACGAAGGGTCTAAAAACTGACGCGTCCTCGCTAAATTATTCTAAACTTCAACGGTAATTCTGAACACGCACGGGATGTAAACAAACGTGATTTTTAGAGTAAAGAGGCGGGAGGAGTAGATGTTTCTACTGAGGAGCTGTGGAGGAGGAAGGTGATGTCACTCATGAACAACGTTTGAAAAAGAACTGTCGCTGTATTTCTCTTCCCTTAAAAAATCCTCTATACAAACTTTAAAATATGTGCAGGTTTAACACGTTAGAATGAACCATCAGACTTTATTCACGCTAAGATTCTTAAAACCACACACTAAATATTAAGTATAAAGTAAAAAGTTAATTTCTAATTGATGCCATGTAATTTGGGCCAATTCACCTGCAATCCTGAAGGCAAAAAAATGGGCCATAGTTTGGACATGCCTCCATTAGACGGTTCGCAAAAACCCCAGAAGTGCGAGTCCGGGCACCAGCCAATCAGCGAAGAGCCGTATATTCAGTGTTGTCAACGATTCCCAAGACTGAGGATTTAAAGTTGGAACAAAGAGAATGTTTGGTGAATTTTATCAAGGGGAAAGATGCTATTGTCCTTCTTCCAACGGGATTTGGCGCATCACACACGTCACGACCAAATAACAGTGATTGGTTAAATAAAAAAAGTACCCGCCGACCGTCGAACGAAAGAATCCTAATGCTGCGAGGTCAGACGGTTTCTACAAAGTGAAACTGTATAAAGAAGCAGACTAAGGAAGAATGACGTCACCCACAAAGTTAAGCTCCAGTCTAATGAAGCTCATGAGGCTCGCAGTTACAGGAGTGAATTTGGAGCTGAGTTTCATATTAGGAAAAAAAAAGTATTAACGGACAAAATAGTGAAATAAAAACGACAGGATCACAAACATTTACAGACCCAAATGACTCTAAAATAAAAACAATGCAGCTTTAGTTTAGTCAGGCTGGTGCCACCTAGTGCCTCCGCTCAATTTAATTTCTCTCCATCGACTAGATCAGGAATCGAATTGGAATACACTAGACAGTTGACACACAAAAAAACGGAAGTGCGAGTTTGGGCAACAGCCAATCAGCCAAGAGCCAAACATTCTGTGTTGTCTACGATTCCCCAGATCGAGGATTTAAAGCTGGAACAAAGAGAATGTTTGGTGAATTTCATCAAGGGAAAAAACGTTATTGTCCTTCTTCCTACGGGTTTTGGAAAAAGCTTAATATACCAGTTAGTCCTGTTAGGAAGACCAAACAGCAGCGATTGGTTAAATTAAAAAGTACCTGCCTACCGTCGAGTGAACGAATCCTAATGCTGCGAGGTCAGACAGTTTCCACGAAGTGAAACCGGCTGATGAATCAGGTTAGCTTTAGTCCATGCATGAGGTAAAATTATAAAATATGTTTATTTTGTTATTTCAAATGATCTTAAACAGGCTGGTCAGAGTCGACCAAACGACCGTACAATCTGAACACAAACAGAGACTGAAGCATCTCTAAAAACCACACGACTAAACCTGTGTACATCTGCTCTACATCAGGACAAACCCACGTCTGAAACAGGGTCTACAAGGTCTGAAGTCCTAAACCAGACCTAAACCAGGGTCTAAATGAAAAGATGTAACGTGCCAAACCGGGTCTGATCCAAGTCAGTCCACGTAATCGCCTCAGTGCTAAACTAATATTTACCAGCTCAGCCGCTCTGTTTGTGTGAGCCTCAAGTGTCTGCAGAGTCACAGCAGCTTCAGCCTCCGCAGTCTGAACTCAGACCTGAACTCAGACCTGAACTCAGACCTGAACTCAGACCTGAACTCAGACCTGAACTCAGACCTGAACTCAGACCTGAACTCAGACCTGAACTCTGACCTGAACTCAGACCTGAACTCAGACCTGAACTCAGACCTGAAAGACTCTGAACTCTGACCTGAACTCTGACCTGAACTCAGACCTGAACTCAGACTGAACTGAACAGACCTGAACTCAGACTCTGAAACTCAGACCTGAACTCAGAAACTCAGACCTGAACTCAGACCTGAACTCTGAACTCAGACCTGACTCAGATGAACTCTGAACTCTGACCTGAACTCTGACTGACCTGAACTCAGACCTGAACTCTGACCTGAACTCAGACCTGAACTCAGACCTGAACTCTGAGACTGATGAACTCAGACCTAACTCAAGTACAAGTAACTCAAGTACTGACTCAAGTACAAGTACTCAAGTACTCAAGTATACTCAAAGTACTGTGGATGAACTCAAAGTACTCAAAATACAAGTATACTCAAAGTACTGTGGATGTAACCAAGTACAAGTATACTCAAAGTACAAGTATGCTCAAAGTACAAGTATACTCAAAGTACAAGTATACTCAAAGTACAAGTATGCTCAAAGTACAACTCCAAGTACAAGTATACTCAAAGTACTGTGGATGTAACCAAGTACAAGTATACTCAAAGTATACTCAAAGTACTGTGGATGTAACCAAGTACAAGTATACTCAAAGTACAAGTATACTCAAAGTACAAGTACTCAAGTACAAGTATACTCAAGTACAATGTACTCAAAGTAAGTATACTCAAAGTACAAGTAGTATACTCAAGTAAAGTACAAGTATGCTCAAAGTACAAGTATGCTCAAAGTACAAGTATGCTCAAAGTACAAGTATACTCAAAGTACTGTAACCAAGTACAAGTATACTCAAAGTACAAAGTATGCTCAAAGTACAAGTATACTCAAGTACAAGTATGCTCAAAGTACAAGTATACTCAAAGTACAAGTAACTCAAGTACAAGTACAAGTACTCAAAGTACTGTGGACGTAACAAGTACAAGTACAAGTACAAGTAGTACAAGTACCAAAGTACAAGTATGCTCAAAGTACTGTGGACATAACCAAGTACAAGTATACTCAAAGTACTGTGGATGTAACCAAGTACAAGTATACTCAAAGTACTGTGGATGTAACCAAGTACAAGTATACTCAAAGTACTGTGGACATATCCAAGTACAAGTATACTCAAAGTACTGTGGACATAGCCAAGTACAAGTAGTTAAAAACTACTCTCCCTGAAATTGTAACCCTCCAGTTTTTGTTGTGTAGAGCGTCCGTCACGTGCTTTTGTCCATGCAGATGTTATCCCTTTGTCTGGAAAGTTTCACAGTACGGCATTATTAAACCTTTCTATCTTCACAAAGACCAAACCAGAACACGTTACAAGTCAGATCTGTAGAGAGGCGACCCCGCTCACAGTCAGAACTCCTGTTTTAGTTTTTGTTTCTAGGTGTTTCTGGGCTATAAAACCACCTGTGATTGAATAAAATGTAAGGCCCAGTTCGCACTAGTTCATATTTGAGTTGTTTTCGTTGTGGGTGCAGTGTTCGTTCACAATAATCCGATGGAAAACGGCTCCAGAGACGGAACGATCTGTGGCCTCCAGCTCCCACGAATTCATTTGAGTACAGATCTGATCCGGCACCGTGTGGACACCTGAAAACACTGATACTCTGATGTAGGTCTTTGTAGGGATGTTCCGATCACATTTTTTTGCCCCTGAGTCCGAATCATTTGATTTCGAGTGTCTGCCGATATCGAGTCCCGATCCGATACTTCTATAAAAATTATGAAATTAACTAAGAGCAAAGAATATGATCCAGGATGTGTGCGAATATCAGAGTGTATTGATTTCATGTGTAGTATTTGAGCTGAACTTTTCTAACCATGAACCATCAATATTGAAAATCTGGACTTTTCACAGTCTGGTCTTGGAATGTGTAACTTAGTAAACTTAATGAACTGAACCAAACAGGAACCAGACCAGAATCAGATCAGACCTGAGACTCGACTCTGCACAATCTACAGTTTGTATATTTGATATTGTACGGAGACATGTGCATTATATTTCAAACATTTAGGCTTGTCTATGATCCAAATAATAGAAAATCTTACCAAATAAAAACGAAATGACAGAAGCTCCACCGCCCCCCGCCCTGCCCCCACTTCCCCGCACCAACACCACATCCACAAACCCACCGTGGAGCGCGCACCGCAACATCGGTCTCACCGCTCAATAGACGCTCCGTGCCGCTGTTCCCACCCGCTCCGCCAAAAGCGCCAACTCCACAGCGCAACACGCAAACAAACAACGCCGTGTGACGACGCCATCGGCCGCTCAGGTGTGAACACGAACCACAGAACCACAGGTAACAGCGCCCAAGCACGACACGGCTCAAGATTCCCAGTGCGAGTGCGCCGCTAGTACAACAGGCGCTGGACAGACAGTCGCGCTGAGCAAATCCCACGCCTCAGTAAAAAAAATAAAATAAAAACTGTTGTGTCCTGTGTGTTCTATACGTATATTATTTATCCGATACCTGGTCGAATCATAATGGCCGAGTCCAGATCGAGTCCACAGTCACGTAATCGGCGCCGATTTCCAATCACTAAGAAGCTAAAATATATGTCCATTCATATAAACATGTGTCTGTGTGTTCGACCTGCAGACGTATAATCTCTGAAAAGTTTCACATGAATCATTTCCAACACGACAGAAACACAGAACAGACTCACCATCAGCAGAACACCCCTCTGTCACAGAAAGAACACTCATATTCCACTGAGTCGTGTCCTTTAGTCCGACAGAAGATGAACCACATCAATGCACAAGAGCCAGCAGTTTTTTTTTAGCACTTAGTTTATGCAAATGAGTCATGTGGTTTTAAGTTTAATTTCTGTAAAACGTAAACAAATGTGCTCAAAGCTGTGTGGACAGGGAAGGCTTGCGGACACAGAAACGATACGATACGGTGATATGCGGATTCGTTTCAGCGTAAACTGGGATCTGAGGCAGCTGTTTAATGTCGTACTGTGGAACATTCCAAACAGCGCAATGACATCTCCAGTACTGAAGTGGAGTTTGTGCAGCTTTAAGTCGATTTTTTTAATGCGATACCTTTACCTGAGTGTCTTTTTGTCTCTGTATTTGCACTTTTACTAAGAAAACAGAGCACTTGATGCACTAGCTACCTGCTCGGAACTCGGAAGTGACCTCGCGTCGCTCGATATCTCCCTCGGACCCCTCCTTCCCTCCCTCCCTCTCTCCTTCCCTCCGCGCCGGTTCTCCTTTATTTGCTCCATATGGCGTTTGACATGGTACCCAGGGGAAGGAGGGAGGGAGGGAAGGAGGGAGAGAAACGTCTGTGGGCGGAGGAAAGCCTTGTAGTATTTGTCCGAGCTGAAATTTGATTCACAAGTTCAGAATCGGTGCGAGACAAAAAGCGCCGAGGCAGAGGGGGAGGGAAGAAAGACACGACAATTACGCACGGAGGATTCGCTTTTAAACTCGAGTAAGTCTAGTTTCCGTCTTTTTACGCACGGCTAAACGTGGAAAGAGGTAAACCTGGTGTGACTTTAACAACTCAAAAATCCTTACTGATAAGTTTATTGATTCTGATAAGCGTGTCTGAAAGTGTAAGATGCAACAGATTGACTTAAAATCGTGAAAATTTACGATTCTAGGGATTTATTCTCGAGCACGACCGCGCGTATTTTGTATTTTGGCTCCATCCAAGACTCGCATACCTTCCTTTTGTGGCGTCCGGAGTGTAACCTTTTCATTGGAGAGAATAGCGGGATGTTTTTTGTCAAAAAGGGGGAGTGGAGTGAAAGCGCGTTGCCCCCCTCGTGCACGCGCGTCGCCGTAACCCAAAAAACAAAACAAAAAACGTGTTTACGGAATGGCTAAAAAATCCGGTTTGGGTCACGCGTGCGGGTTCGTACTTCATTTTGTTTGGATATAAATACTCGGGCGAACTATGCGTGCTGGCTGCTGCTGCTGCTGCTGGAGAGATTTTTGGGAGCGCGCCAAGAATCCGCACGAGGAACGCACCGAGATTTCACGCGCTTCGGAGGAGTCTGCGTGAGATGGGGACGTCGCTCGCGTCTTGGATTTTACGCACGAATCGCCTTTTACGACGCGATACGGGATTAAAGAGCAAAGCGAAACTACGAGGGTGAGTGTCTCGTGCAGAAGGAGGGGGGCACATGGTAACTATTATCCATTACCCCTCAGAGGCGGTAGTACTCGGTTACTTTTACTGGAGTAACTTTAAAGACGCACTGTGTAACTTTTCAGGTGTTAAAATCGAACTCTCGCAGAATAAATTTCAACATTTTCTCAGGGTTTATACGAGTCCAATCTGTTCTAGAGTTAATTTAACATTTTTTTTTGGAAGTGTTAATTAAGTAACACTGGACCAAAGTTCTTGTTTAACCCCGAAATCAAGAGTTATATGAACATTTTGAGAGTAAACGGATAACACATTGTAGAGTTTTCCTGATTTAGCGAAACAACACAAAGAGGTGTTTTATTTTTACACTTTATTTGAGTTAATTTAACATGAAATTATGAACAAAACTGGTCAAACTGGTTTTCTCTCACGGGAGTTTGAAGTGGTGGGTGAGAGGAGGCAAATTAACACTAAGATAAGTTGAATTAACACTAAGATAAGTTGAATTAACACTAAGATAAGTTGAATTAACACTAGAGGAAGTTGAATTAACACTATGAAAGTTGAATTAACACTATAAAAGTTGAATTAACACTAGTGGAAGTTGAATTAACACTAAGGGAAGATGAATTATGAAGTTGAAGTTGAACTTGGCAAATAACCCCAACTCGAATCCCCATTTAACTTTCAAATAGTTAAAATAACACTTTTTGTGTTAAAAACAACTCACCCTTTCAAAGTATGGCATTGAACCTTTCTATCTCCATGGAGACCAAACCAGACCAAGTTACAGGGCAGATCTGTGGAGAGGCAACACTGCTCACAGTCAGAAGGCCTGTTTTAGTTTTCATTACTAGGTGTTTCTGAGCGATGAAACCACCTGTGATTGAATAAATGTAAAGTCAAGCTGTTTAATGTCACACTGTGGAACATTTCAAGCAGAGTAATGGCATCTCCATAGAAACAAGCAGGATTACATAGTGCACCTTTAGGGCCTGTTTACATGACAACACTTGTGGGTAAAAACAAACAAAATACAAACAAAATATTTTATAAGAAGTGCTGGTTTAGTCCTGGTTTTAGTCCTGTTTAGTCCCTGGTTTAGTCCTGGTTTAGTCCTGGTTTAGACCTGGTTTAGACCTGGTTTTAGTCCTGGTTTAGTCCTGGTTTAGTCCTGGTTTAGTCCTGGTTTAGACCTGGTTTTAGTCCTGGTTTAGACCTGGTTTTAGTCCTGGTTTAGACCTGGTTTAGTCCTGGTTTAGTCCTGGTTTAGTCCTGGTTTAGTCCTGGTTTTGTCCTGGTTTAGTCCTGGTTTAGTCCTGGTTTTAGTCCTGGTTTAGTCCTGGTTTAGACCTGGTTTAGACCTGGTTTAGTCCTGGTTTAGTCCTGGTTTAGTCCTGGTTTAGTCCTGGTTTAGTCCTGGTTTAGTCTGGTTTAGTCTGTTTTAGTCCTGGTTTAGACCTGGTTTAGTCCTGGTTTTAGTCCTGGTTTAGTCCTGGTTTAGACCTGGTTTAGATCTGGTTTAGATCTGGTTTAGTCCTGGTTTAATCCTGGTTTAGTCCTGGTTTAGTCCTGGTTTAGTCCTGGTTCAGTCCTGGTTTAGTCCTGGTTTTAGTCCTGGTTTGGTTCTGGTTTAGACCTGGTTTAGTCTTGGTTTAGTTCTGGTTTTAGTCCTAGTTTAGTCCAGGTTTAGTCTTGGTTTAGTCCTGGTTTTAGTCCTGGTTTAGACCTGGTTTAGTCCTGGTTTAGTCTTGGTTTAGTCTGGTTTAGTCCTGGTTTAGACCTGGTTTAGTCCTGGTTTAGTCCTGTTTAGTCCTGGTTTTAGTCCTGGTTTAGTCCTGGTTTACCTGGTTTAGACCTGGTTTAGTCCTGGTTTAGTCCTGGTTTTAGCCTGGTTTAGTCCTGGTTTAGTCCCTGGTTTAGTCTGGTTTAGATCTGGTTTAGTCCTGGTTTAGTCCTGGTTTAGACCTGGTTTAGTCTTGGTTTAGTCCTGGTTTTAGTCCTGGTTTAGACCTGGTTTAGTCCTGGTTTAGGTTTAGACCTGGTTTAGTCCTGGTTTAGTCCAGTGACTGGCGCCCCCCTGTGGCCCCTGATTCTCCCATCCAAGTCCGTTTTAGATTTTAAACGCAGTAATATTGTAAAAAAATTACTTCCAAATTACAGTAACGAGTCATAAATAAATATCACATTACAGTTTTGAAGTCACTTGCCCAACACTGGTGACAACATGAGAGTAGAATCTGTCAGAAAAGTTACGCAGTGCACCTTTAATTACACGGTTTGTGGCTTTGGTTGCGTCGAATACTTGTCCTAATCCACAAAGAATGGAAGTCTGTCTGGTGGGTTTTTTATCCAATCAGAACGCAGGACATAACCGAGGTGTGTCCAATGGGGTCGGGGGAAATCAACAGGTGGACTTGTGTTTGTACAGTATTGTGTGTAACAAGAACTAGACCAGGATTAAACCAGGTCTACAATAGGACTCAATCTCATCTGACACACGGGGTGGATCAGGACTAAACCAGGGTTGAATCAGGACTAAAACCGGACTAGAAAAGGTGCTCAAGTCTTTCGTAAGAGAAACAAAACACACAAAGAAACGTGTAATTTTGGTAAAAGATTTGGTCTTGGTGTCGTCAAAGTTCTGACAATAATATCATGGACCATTGTGATATATTGAATTGGTCCTGGTTTAGACCTGGTTTAGTCCTGGTTTTAGTCCTGTTTTAGTCCTGGTTTTAGTCCTGTTTTAGTCCTGGTTTTAGTCCTGGTTTAGACTTGTTTCAGTCCTGGTTTCAGTCCTGGTTTTAGTCCTGTTTGAGACTTGGTTTTAGTCCTGGTTTTAGTCCTGGTTTAGTCCTGGTTTTAGTCCTGGTTTTAGTCCTGGTTTAGTCCTGGTTTAGTCCTGTTTTAGTCCTGGTTTTAGTCCTGGTTTAGACTTGTTTCAGTCCTGGTTTCAGTCTTGGTTTTAGTCCTGTTTGAGACTTGGTTTAGTCCTGGTTTAGTCCTGGTTTTAGTCCTCGTTTAGACCTGGTTTAGACCTGGTTTAGATCTGGTTTTAGTCCTGATTTTAGTCCTGGGTTAGACCTGGTTTAGTCCTGGTTTAGATCTGGTTTAGACCTGGTTTAGACCTGGATTAGACCTGTTTTAGTCCTGGTTTTAGTCCTGTTTGAGACTTGGTTTAGTCCTGGTTTAGACTTGGTTTAGTCCTGATTTAGACCTGGTTTAGTCCTGGTTTAGACCTGGTTTAGTCCTGGTTTTAGTCCTGGTTTTAGACCTGACTTTAGTTCTGTTTTTGTCCTGATTTTAGTCCTGGTTGAGACTTGGTTTAGTTTTGGTTTAGTCTGGATTTGTTCTGGTTTTAGTCCTGGTTTAGTCCTGGTTTAGACTTGGTTTAGACCTGTTTTAGTCCTGGTTTAGTTCTGGTTTAGACTTGGTTTAGACCTGGTTTAGTCCTGGTTTAGTCCTGGTTTAGACTTGGTTTAAACTTGGTTTAGTCCTGGTTTAGTTCTGGTTTAGACTTGGTTTAGACCTGTTTTAGTCCTGGTTTAGTCCTGGTTTAGTTCTGGTTTAGACTTGGTTTAGACCTGGTTTAGTTCTGGTTTAGACTTGGTTTAGTCCTGGTTTAGTTCTGGTTTAGACTTGGTTTAGACCTGTTTTAGTCCTGGTTTAGTCCTGGTTTAGACTTGGTTTAGACCTGGTTTAGTCCTGGTTTAGACTTGGTTTAGACCTGTTTTAGTCCTGGTTTAGTTCTGGTTTAGACTTGGTTTAGACCTGGTTTAGTCCTGGTTTAGACCTGTTTTAGTCCTGGTTTAGTCCTGGTTTAGTTCTGGTTTAGACCTGTTTTAGTCCTGGTTTAGTCCTGGTTTAGACTTGGTTTAAACTTGGTTTAGTCCTGGTTTAGTTCTGGTTTAGACTTGGTTTAGACCTGGTTTAGTCCTGGTTTAGACCTGTTTTAGTCCTGGTTTAGACCTGGTTTAGTCCTGGTTTAGACTTGGTTTAGACCTGATTTAGTCCTGGTTTAGTCCTGGTTTAGACTTGGTTTAGACTTGGTTTAGACCTGTTTTAGTCCTGGTTTAGTCCTGGTTTAGAATAGACTCGATACTCAATACTGATTCTTACACACAGCAAAAAATGTCTAAAAAAAGTCTTAAATTTATCGACTCTCACAGAATCAATTTTAACATTTTCTCAGAGTTTATACGAGTCCAATCTGTTCTAGAGTTAATTTAACACTGTTGGAAGTGTTAATTAAGATGTAACACTGGACCAAAGTTCCCGTTTAACCCCAAAATCAAGAGTTAAATTCATGTTTTGAGAGTAAACTGATAACACAT